AAGGAAAGGAGAAACCTCCAACGAGTTGTTCAACATTTATAGTATTTTTAACACATTCTTGGCTGCATATCTGTAACATGAGAGTGACTGCTTATGGTCCACATAAAAGGCTGAACACAGCTGTTTGAAAGTAAATAATATTCATTTGTTTTCAGAATCACCAACACATAGCATTGACCTAGAACCTAGCGATTCGGAAGGTTAGGAATTACAGATAGCATCGGGACTCAACTAAGCATCCTTGTTTTTTCTCTTATATCCAGACACCACTCCACTCAAAAGAAACAGCCAACAGTCATACTGTATTATCTAGTGGCGGTAAATTCAAAGCAATCAATTATCGATGGTTAAGGATGGATGGAAAAGGGCTTGAGCCATTGGTTTAACAAGATTTTTTGTCAAAACGGATGGTTAGTTATCTAGTACAAGATATTCTAGGCTGCTACTCTAACAAGATGCGTTTATTGCACCAATTGAACGAGATACTAACATTGACTAAGGCCGGCGATTTTAAGCTATCGTGCATATGTAGTCATAGCAACTGACTAGGGTCTCCTACAACAACAGCATTTTTAGTATAAGTCCATATGAACTAGTGTGAAATGCGGTCGTTATATCAAACGGTGAGTGTACGAATGAACGACTAACATTCAGAGGGTAATCGCTCTGACAATGAAAGTCTCATGTCATCTCTAACGGCTACAACATATTTGAAACTTTCAGTGCAACTAAAACAAATCGACCATTGCTTCTAAGTAACAAGCTAGATAAATAAGGTATTAGACTAGCTTTACTTTTTCTGAGCAAGCGAACGCTTAAGTGACAAATGCTACCCTCTAAATACTGCTTTCTAGATTGGAACCATGAAAATACTGAGCACAGATACTTACTACAGAAAACGTCTTATTGTTGTGATTTGTGTCCAACTTTTGTGAAAGTTCCGATGATTAGCAAAAGTGGAATTAATCGGAGCCATCTCACTATTCCTCGAGATCTGGTTATCTTTTAACGTACTGGATAACGAAGTCCATACCCCAAGATATTAGCACGGAGACCCGCGGGCGGCGTAATCCTGTACTAGAGATCAGACCTCAAAGCGCACACTATACAAGTAAACAGAAACAGCGGTACCTAAAAGCTTTGGTGTCGAATGCAGGACGGATGTAAACCCTTACTGTCTGCAGAGGGTAAAAAGACAATGGGGTAAGGATGACCGCCTTCTAGACTAATTCAAAACCTATGGGAGGGGCAGGGAATGTCTAATCTAGGGTTACCTGTGTGCACCAAGTGTTGACTGGAATCTGCTTTTCTAAGGAAATTCTTCAGGGTTATTTGATGCTGGCCTTCTCGGAGCAGTTCGCCATGTCAACTGATCATAGCATGTCTTCAAGCCCGCCAGGATAATAATGCCAGTTCAGCCACAGCACATTCGTGAAGTAGTTTACATATCGGTACTAACTGACATCTCTAAGCTAGCCACTCTGTCACTAATTTGTCAAGGCCATCACCGTACCCTTCTTATCACGTGGACGCGAAATCTCGTCAGTCATGACCAAATAGTTTTCGTGGAAATTTCTGACGTACAAATTCATCCTGTTAGTAATCAATCATTGAACCGTAGGGTATATACACCTTACCTGCACTAGATGGTAAAAACGATTGGCTAACACGTAAAGGTGGAGCAATGAGCCACTTAGCTCAAGAATCTTAACCAGATTCACAATACGCCTTAACCGAAGGCTGAATCATTGCAGGTTTTAGTTTGTGAATTACCAAATTGAAGGAGCAGTCATTCCATGTACCCGAAACTGAGTGCCCGTTACCACTCGAATAACTGGTCCTTTCGGATTTTACAGCACAATAAGCGGCAGACGAGAGAGTGGTGTCTTGGATAGCACAAACCAGAGTGTAAGCTCTCTGTTCAGTCTGATTTGCTGATCCAAACAGTTAAGTTTTTCAGCTTCGCACACGGCTGTGATATCTTTCTTCTGTTACTGGGATCACGCTGGCGACAAACGGACGTCACTGACGGACTCATGTGGGAACCGTTGAATGAAAGATGGGCGAATATAAAGCGTGGGAGTCAAAGTTCTCTAACTTGAAATTATGACTTCCTGTAAGGGTGAGAAAAGGTTGCGTCGGCAGATTTAGCCAGGGCAGGCCACTTCCGATAATTCTGTTAGTTAACGTCCACACAGACGCGTGAGTCAAGGCAGGGTGTGTTTCAGACGGATTAGGAAATCAATTAGATGAAATGCTGTTGTACGGCTTTCTGATTGTCAAAAAATGACAGTACATGATCAGCAAACTCTGATGAAGGATTTAGGCTGATGATGTAGTTAATACAAAATCCATAAATCCTGGCTGCATTTGGGAACCACAAACGATGAGGCAAATAATTCACTGTTGTCTGGATGTATCAAGAAAAGACTCAGTAATAACATATTCTGCAAACGCAAGCAGTTAAGAAGTGCGGATTTCTTTCGGCTGCTTAAGGAGGACGAGTTAATCCCTTCGGCGCTTGTGAGTGATACTTTGCTATGTTGTAGCAATAAACTATCCAGCAATTAGAATAAAACAAACACCATCACTATCTTCAATGAGATATAAAACAGAATCCTTTAAGGTACGTGAAATAGTGGCTTTTGTAGAAAGTCCCGGTGGCAAAAGCATGGATTTCATTGCCTGTTTCATAGTTCCAGTGAACAAATTCATGCGCACGCTAAATTAAAAGTTAAAAGTAGTGCTCTAACTTTAAGTGTACTCCCTCCGTTTAGAAAATTTGCGAAAACATCAGGACAAAACGAACGGTGAGTTAAGAAGGCTTTTCGAGTAAAATCTCATCGGACTTTAACTGTTACTTAGCAGACATAGGCTGGTAACTTCCAAATTGCATTTGTAGGGCTGGTAAATTGATTGTTGGGTTATTCGAATAGTCAAATCGATAGATATAAGCTCAGCTGTAGGTGGTAGTCAAAGTGAACTGGAGAGTAAAATATAACATGAAAGATGGAAATCACAAAATAAGCGGCTCAGATACCATTGTCCGTCGAGCAAGGTAGTCGTAACGGGTGGTCGTACCTCTTTTGCATACATAATTCTGACTTCAACTGACGGATGGATATAGCCTCGGCAATGGAGCGACGCTGCAAGCATAAGTATTGCGTGTGGTGTTCAGTTAAAGAGTATACAACTTGGAAATCATTCACAGAGTTTGTGTGGCTAAACTATAGGTGTGACACAATAGCTGTTTGAAAATCTTATCTAGCCTTTGTAGAACCAGGCTGGGATTTGCTCGCGAATCCTCAGAGAAAGCCGCCTTGTGGTGGGACCCACGTATCGTGCACCATAGGAGCAAGAGCACTGATAAACTAGCTGTGTACAGGCATACTGCCTAGTTACTGAAAGCTTTTAATGACGCTTATGCGAATTTCCACTTTATTTGCGAGCATGAGTTTGGAAACCGTCTACCTTTTCTGGATGTCGAGGTTATCCGTAATACTGACTCATCAATCAGCAGAAAGGCGTACAGAAAGCATACGTGGACTGGGCAATACGCGAAATTCTACCTTGCAGTACCGTTACAGTACAAGAGGATTTTGGTCCGATCTCTCACCTTCAAGGCGCGCAGTATTTCCACGCAGGATACGGTCACAGAATACTTGTAGCGAATCAGCGAAGCCCTGATAGCAAATAGCTATCCAGACAAATTTATCGCAAAGTATCTAAAGAAACATAAAAGCAAACTACCTAGGAGCATTACACCTAATATGGTTCTGTTCCTGTACTTGCCATTTAAAGGCCATTCCGTTGCTGCTACCTTAGCTTGACGCTTAAAATATGCAGCTGAGAAGACCTATTTCGCTGCACGATTGAGGATTGTTTACTATGACAGACAATTGGTTGTAAACCTTTAAAAGATGGACTGCACTCGTTGGGCCATTCAATGCACGTTTATCAGTGCTCTTGCTCCTATGGTGCACGATACGTGGGTCCCACCACAAGGCGGCTTTCTCTGAGGATTCGCGAGCAAATCCCAGCCTGGTTCTACAAAGGCTAGATAAGATTTTCAAACAGCTATTGTGTCACACCTATAGTTTAGCCACACAAACTCTGTGAATGATTTCCAAGTTGTATACTCTTTAACTGAACACCACACGCAAGACTTATGCTTGCAGTGTCGCTCCATTGCCGAGGCTATTTACATTCATCAGTTGAAGTCAGAATTATGTGTGCAAAAGAGGTACGACCACCCGTTACGACTACCTTGCTCGACGGACAATGGTATCTGAGCCGCTTATATTGTGATTTCCATCTTTCATGTTATATTTTACTCTCCAGTTCACTTTGACTACCACCTACAGCTTAGCCTATATCTATCGATTTGACCATTCGAATAACCCAATAATCAATTTACCAGCCCTACAAATGCAATTTGGAATTTACCAGTCCATTTCTACGCGAAAAGCCTCTGCCTCTGCTAAGTAACAGTTAGAGTCCGATGAGATTTTACTCGAAAAGCATTCTTAACCCACCACTCATTCGGTTCTGATTTTCTCACTAGCAAAATTGGATTGCGTTTCACTGCGTTCAAAGCATGCCTTTAAGGCTTTGTTTTATTGGACACTCCCGAGGATGCGAAAATTCAATGACCTAACCTGCCCTGCTGTCTTGAATCAATCTTGCCTGAGGATATCAAACAACGAATTATATGCTTAGATCCAAGGCGTGGTTGCGAATGTATTGTAGTAATTTTATATGCCCCATGCCTCCAGATTTCGTAGGCACCTCAAATTTTTATTGTCTTGGCCCTAATTATGCCTAGATATTTTAACCTCAAAGTTTTTCTTCAACTACTAAAGCAAAAGCGTCAAGTGTGGCACGATTGTTTCGCAGCTGCAAATCCAGTTGCTTTTTCATTCAAGCGTATATTTTAAACAATTCAATCCGTTAGTTCATCTTGTTTTTAAAGCTTAAAGCGACTGTGCGCTAAATCTTACCACTCCACTGATTATTCCGGTACTTTCTCTTTGGCTGTGGATGGCCAAAATGGCGTCAAATGGGATGGCGGCTATCAGATCCAAAAAGAACCAGCCTTTGATGTAATGGATGGCGATCATCTTCGTCTCATGTACAACTTGACCACTTTTGCTGACAAAAGTAGTCGCAAAATTCAAGGCAATATCTGAAAACGAAATGAGAATAACAACTGTGAGCTAGTAGTAGATCAGTGTTGTCGCGGCTCATGAGATTTACTGTTCTTTGGGAGCGATAATATCTTCGAGCTAAAATCATATCAATGCAGGGGTGTATCACTTTATCGAGAATAAAAGTTTAGTTAATTATTTAAGCTAAATATGTCGCAACTTTATCAGAAAATCAAGTGTGAGCTATGGATACCAAAAAGATCTATGCAAGAGTAAAGATGCCAGGTTAATCGGTTAGTTACTCAAGTTATTGTGAATTACGGAAGAGTAGTAGGGGGAGTTGAATGGTGAGAATTGTGACCAATAAGGTTGGACGGTCTACTGCACGGAGTTCCAGACTGACACCGCATTGAGAAGAAATCTCGAGTTCTAAAGTCTGCCACCTAACTCTTTATCAGTACCATACGTTGTAAGTGAAATACTAATTGCATTTAACAAAAGGTGGTCGATACTTTTCTAACCACATCTGCGATGTATGGGGATCTGTCTGTGTGTTTGATTTCTCATCCACTGGAACTTGTTGCTTCTCACACCGACCACATATGGACCGCTAGAGCAGTATCATTTTAGTAACATTTTGTTAGCTGGGTCAGGCTTGTTTAGTCTGCATGAAGGACATGTAGGCTCGCTTGCGTTATGCCCAGATAGGCGACCTTTAGAGCAACTTGAGGACGTATAAGTTGAGATCACGAGAGTACAGGTGAAGAGTGGTTGTCAATGATTTGTAGCTCCCTGGTGGTTTCAACGTATGACGTGTAAAATATTACCAAGTTACGGATTTATTTTGTATGCAAAAAATTAACCAGTTTGTTTGTTGCGTGTGTACCACTTTTGTTAATATCCACACACCCATCGGGAACGCGACTCTAACACTGCTATTTTTTCGGAACACTTTTTACTCCCTATTTCACCTTTCTTTGGGTGCGCGTTAGCTTTGTGAGCTAACATGTCTCGACAACAAACCTACATCTCTCCTGTTGCTATTTGTCTTATTTTGGCCATACGGTTGCCTGGTTGTTCAATATAGCGCTCCTCCATTGATCGTGTCATAGATTCACCAACAGACTTCACTAAAACGTATAGGAGTGAAGGGAGCAAAAATAATTAAATTAGTTCGAAGCACATAGAACACGTGCTTGCCATTGTCAAAGACTAACAAACGATCGGTGCGACAACGCACTAGTCGCCGTATTATTGAGTGCAACTTTACGCTGCCGACTTAAGCAGCTTTTGTTTCCGCAGGTCAAGGAATCTGCACGCCCGAAAATAGCTTACTTTGCGGATAATAGCTCGTTAAAAAATCGATTACAGTTTCTTGTAGATGTTTTAGGTGTACTGAGGTGCGTGTCGCGCACTTTAATTGGACTATGCGCTTTCATTCGCTTACTGTCCAGGGTAGAAGAAAAGGGTGATACTAAGAGCACCTTGGCGGAATCAGGGTAAGTGGCGCTCATGTAACTGTTTCATCACTACAATTATCGTCAACAGCAGTACGCCATTCATTTGAATCGATGCTTTAACACAGTACAACCATGAGGAGTTAAGGAATAACCAACAATAAACGACATCGAAGGCGAAACGAGGGTAAAGTGTAAACCCCTCAACCAAACATTTAGGTTCGAGGCGACTATAATTAGTCAAAAAGATACCGAAACAAACAGCTAGCTATCGTGCAAAGGATAAGTACCATCAGTGAGACAGCTAGCTTGTGGCTTTCACTGCCTCGTATCATAACCAGCTGTTACTCCGCAGATGACAGCACCAAAAACACCTTAAACAGTATTCCGACTAGCAGACGGCAACAAACGCCCACTAGTGCTGACTGTGCACCATGTCCTGTAACCTCTCAACTCAAGAACAAGGTGTCACGTGGACTCCAGCCTGGAAGGCGAGACGGACCGGCGACACCCAGTTTGGTCGTCAGTAACTTCATTTCCCGCCGCTAAATTAATTTTTACCCACCTAGGGCATTGCGCCACCCTCCATCTGGTAAACGTAACAACCCCCTCCTCGGTAAGCAGTGACCAGTATGTGCACAAACTAACGCAATTTATTCAGTGTTATCTGTTGTTCTATATTACTACATTGATTATCACTGTTAAGCAAAGGTCTGCTTTAAGATGCAGTTTTCGATAAAAGTACACACATTCTTATCATGGGTGATTTCAACGTACATTGTTTAGAAATTCCCGGCATGATCGGAGACCAAGGTCATCCCCACACACGCGTGACGTGCGTGCTCCTGGTTCATTTGGATTATTCCACTCTATCCTCTCTCCATCTCCTCGCAGCGTTGTCACTGTACGCTCATTCGATTTACCAGCCCTACACAGTGATCCATCATACGTGGAAATATCTTCTACGATTAGAGGCTGCGCCGTGAATAAGTGCAAGCGTTTAACTCAATCACATTGAGCCGATTGCCTTTCTGTGTGACACCATTCGATACAGAATTCTCGAGGCAGACCGAAAAGCCTAAGCTTGTTCCGATCCAGTGTTTCTCAACACAGCTGTGAAAGAATTTGTGATCTGTCAATCTGTGTTCAGTGCTCTGTTCAGGTTCCAGTCACTCGCCATTCCTTGTGACCTGGTCAGCCAGTGCGGCTGCATAACCCATCACACGGACCGCGCGACCACGCCGACCGCGCATTTGACCTTGCAACCACCACGCTCGCCTGACCGATGTGCGCCGCTCACAAAGCTGCAAAAATGCAGAACGCTAACCAACCCACTGGGTCAGGTAACAACATTAAATTGAGTGGCAGAAACTCGAAAGCGAAGAGGCTCCAAACGAAGGGCATTTGCGGGTTAGGAGAATGTCATCGGGTAGTAAAATTCGGTCTGGCTTGCTTGCACTGTTTGGAATGGTAGCATACGAAATGTGCAAATGTGTCCTAACAACAGGTACGGGAGCGAAATAGCTCCCAAGATGCATTTTGATTCTGTACTGCGTGTTCCACCATCCCCCTCGTTAAGTTTTTGCTTATCCTAGCTCAGAATTATGACCGGTTAACCACAGAAGCAGAGCAGAGGATAAACAATATTACTTCAATGGAAGCGAGTATGCATCAGAGAAGCGTAGTGGCTTCTGAGCAACGGAATGCTGAACAATCCACTTCCCCTGAACTGCAATCAGCCACGTCTCCATCTCCGTTGTCTTCTCCAACTTTGGTAGAACGCTGGGCGAAACAGACCGTACCTACGAGAGACAAACAGTACTCACAGCAACGTAAATCAAGCACCATTCGAAACGTCTGGTTAAGCAAATTTTACTAGACCTGACATCTAGCATTAACAAGGATGAAGCAGACGAACACCAACCCTCGGTACCTGTAGCTCAAATATCTCTTGTTGAGACTAAGCCTCCCAGAACATCAGTTACCTATGCAGATATTGCTGCAAAGGTCCACCGAGAGGCCGCCGTTTCGGCCTCTTCTATTGTAAACACCGTTAACGCGAATAGAGGAACAAAGAGCAAACAATCAACACTTGTCAGCAGTTTAGGACAAACGAGTACCACACCTTGTATATCAACGAAAAAGAGATCCAACAACAGTGTCCGGACTGTTGTATGTTCAGATGTCCCTGAATCTACCGCCATCACATTGCGCGATAAGTTTTCAGACGACTAAGATCAATAGAACTCATTGTGCATGCAGATGAGTATCAAAGCCAAGCTCATAAACTTATTACGAATTACTCGTCATCCGAACTCGCCACACTACGGAGAACCCAAAATTATTCGAGCAACACTAGAATCCTCCACCGACGTAGAAAACGTTTTGCTCTTCGCAAGCACGCTAAAACACGGATCATGTGGGATACGTATCTATCCTGATGTCCCTTGGAGCACGCAGTAGTCAAAAAGCACCACCGAAGAGAGGCACAGCAAGCAAGATCGCCTAAACACAATCTTCATACATGGCATGCCAGAACATCCTTCTAGCGATATTCAAGAGACCGGAAAGCACCATTTAGGACAGTGGCGGTTCCTTCGTGAAACACTTTCTTTGGATAATATTGTGGCACTATCTCTCACCAGGATACCTCTCTCCCCAAATTATAGAGGATGCGGCCCTAGAATCCTAAAACTTGTGGTTCAGTCAGAGCAACAAGCAAAGGATGTTTTAGATCGACAGCGGAGAAATCGGAACCATCTTCCTTCTGAAATTCGGTTAAAGGTTGCAAACGCTTTGCACAGCTCAAATATTAAAGCAACTGAAGCAGCAAGCATACCGACGAATGTACAGAAGCGTAAATTGACTGCTGATTTAATTGATTCTGACGTAAGTCTAAACGAAGATTGGGACGCACCTTAGCTGAATTAAGTTGCAAACGAGGTATCATTATCCAATCAAAAAACGAGTAACTGCCGAACTCCCATCGGTCGGCATTATCCCATACGTGACCCCTTCGCCCCTCTGTTGGCTCCTAGAGACCGAGAAACTGGACTGCTTGTGTACGAATGCTCAGGGTCTTTCTAACAAACTGGCTGAACAGAAAGATCGACAAGCTTCCAGGTAATATGATGTCATTGGTATCTCCGAGAAGTGGTTGCACACGGGAGTGACGGACGCTGAGATTTCGCTACTGAGCATGTCGCTGATCCGGAAAGATAGGCTCACAAAAGGAGGGGGTAATTTTGTACTACCGAAGCGACTTACAATACGAAGCGTGGAGGATTCAGACTCGCAGTTCCCCGACTCTCTTTGGTGCCGGTTGCAGCTAAAAGGCAGGAACACTTACCTTATTGTCTTGATGTACCGCGCCCATAACTCAACACCCGAAACCGACTACCACCTAGCAGCTGCTTTAAGATGCAGTTTGCAATAAAAGTACACTCACATTCTTATCATGAGCGATTTCAAGGTACATTGTACAGATACTTTTGCCACTATCTGAGAACAATTCAAAGCCGATCTAAGGAGCTCGTAACCAGTGTTCCTCTTTACAATCACATCACTTACCCTCTCGGATC